AGGTGTCTCGTCAGCACCAGCTGCTGTCCATTGCCCCTGTCCAGCCTTCGCCATCTGTGAAGGGGTGGTCGATGCCAAAGTCTGGTTATCTGAAACTCAACTTTGATGCAGTGTTTAATAGTTCTCATAAGACTTTTGGAGGTGACATAATTTTAAGGAATATTTTGGGTCAGTCTATTGAAGTGGCATCGGTGTTCCTTGTTAATGTTTGTGATCCTATGTTTACTGAATGTTTTATGTTGAGAGAAGCATTGGCGCTTCTTAAGGTTTGGGGTTATCATCATGTGGTCGTTGAAGGAGATTGCCAATCAGTTATGAGGCTTCAGGCCTCAAGTGCCGTCCAATTGAGGGCATGGTTGTCAAAAGAGCGCCTAGGCGCAAGGCGCCTACAAGCGCAGCAGTTGCGCCTAACAACAGCCCAGGCGCAGCGACCTCTACTAGGCACGCTCCTGGGCTGCGCCTTGAAGCTTGTATGAGGCGCGCTTCATGTAGTATGCGGCATATATGTTATTTGTTTGACTGTTTGTAGTTTATATTATTATATTTAGTATATATATACAGCTTTGGAAACTTAAAAGCAAAAAATTGGAATTTTGTCATCTTGTGAGGCAACATATCAGATCAATAAAAATCAAGCTGCAGAAGAAACGCGGAATGCCACTACCCAGTCAAAAGTGGGAAACAGAAGAAAGAGAAAGAAAGAAAAAAAGAAAAGAGAAGAGAAAAGAAGAAAAGAGAAGAATCTGGAATCTATTCGTTGCCTCCTTCCTTCCGACCAAGCCACTACCCAGGTCAGTAATTTCATTTAAGGTTTTTTTCCCCTTCCTCTTCTCTTCTCCTCTTCTCTCTCTCATCTGGTTTTTTTTTTTTTTTTTTTTTCCTTCTTTATGGGTCTCTATTTTTCTTTCTTTTTCTTCAGGCTCTGTTAGGGGCTCTATTTTTTTTTTTTTTCCTCCTCCTCTTCTCTCTCTCATCTGTTTTTTTTTTTTGTCCTGGCTCTCGTGTTTTTTTTTTTTTTTCCTTTCTTCTTTATGGGTTTCTGTTTTTCTTTCTTTTTCTTCTGGCTCTGTTTAAGGTCTCAGACTATTTTTTTTGTTCTTTATGAGCTCGGTTTTTTTTTTCCCTCCTCTCCTCTTCTCTTTCTCATCTGGTTTATTTTATTTTTTTTAATTTTTTTTCTGGGTCTCTGTTTTTCTTCGTGTAGGGCCTCTGTATTTTTTTTTTTGCCTCCTTTCTAAGTCTTCTCTCTGGCCTAAAATACTGTTGTGCTATGATGGACTAAATATATGCCCTTCATCTAGCTGCTGATCATGCCAATTTTTTTTTTATATAAAAAATGCTGCTGTGTTATGATGGACTAAATATGTACTATTTTTTTTCTTCTTTATGGGCTCTGTTTGCTGGAATTTGCTAGATTATTTAAATTTTGAATGTTTGTGCCTGAATATTGTTTGCTGAATTGCCTGAATGCTTATTTGCTGAATTTAACTTGGTCCATTGACTCCATTCTATTTCTCATTGTAAATAGATAGGAAAAAATGTCAAAGGATCCAGGTTGGAATTATTGTCACCTGTAAAACCCACAAGATAGGAATGTAACAACGTGTAATTTTTGTGAAAAAGTAATGAAATGAGGTATTTATAGGGCTAAGCAACACATTGTAGGGGGATATAGAAACGTAGAAGCATGTAAAAAATGCCCTGAACATGTAAAAGAAGAGATTAGGGAATACATGAGCAAGAAGAAAGAAGAAAAGGAACACACAAATTTGTTGCCTGATTTTGATGATATGGATGATCAAGATGAGGATGATGTAACAATTATTGATATTAAGGGTAAAAGAGTGGCAAGTGGAACTGAAAGCAATAATATTCAATCAAAAAAACAAAAGCAGAAAGGTCCTATTGATTTGCACTTCTCCCCTCCTCCGGAAGTAGTTGTGCAAAATAGAAAAAATGACAAGGGTAAGCAAACAACAATTGATAATGCTTGCAAGAAAGAACTTAGAAACCGAGCATGTCAACGATTTGCAAGATGGATGTATGATGTTAGGATATCATTCAATGCCCCTAATTATGATAGTTTTGCACCAGTTGTTGAAGCTATTGGCCAACATGGTCCAGGAATGAAACCTCCTTCTTATCATGAGGTGAGAGTTCCCCTCCTTAAGAAAGAACTGGAGCATACGGACAATTTAATGCGGGATCATAGAGAGGAATGGGCAAAACATGGATGCACAATTATGGCAGATGGATGGGAGGATAAAAGACACATGTGTTTGATTAATTTTCTGGTGAATTGTCCTAAAGGGACAATTCTCATTCAATCTGTTAATGCTTCCTCTTATTCAAAGACCGGTGAAAAAATGTTTGACTTGCTTAACAAGTTCGTGTAGCAAATTGGAGCATCAAATATGATTCAAGTAGTCACTGATAGTGCCTCTTCTAATGTTATGGCAGGTAAAATTTCAATATATACTTGATGTGGAAATTTTAGGTTTATTGCTTCTAGCCTTCTATTAATCCACATTTTCTTTCTTTAAAATAGAGAGAATGTTGGAAGGTAGGCACCGACATTTGTATTGGTCACCTTGTGCTGCACATTGTGTGGACCTGATGTTGGAGGACATTGCTAAGATCCCAAATATAATGAGGACCATAAAGAGAGCTATAATGTTAAATGGTTATATTTATAACCGTTCGGGTTTGTTGAACATGATGAGGCGTTATACTGGACATAAAAAGTTGTTTAGACCTGCAACGACTCGATTTGCCACTTCATTTATCACATTATCAAGCATCTATCATCAAAAGGATTGCTTGAGGAAGATGATCACTTCGTAAGAATGGATCTCCAGTAAATGGGCGAAAGAGATAGAAGGGAAAAATGTAGCACAGATTGTGTTCATGCCTACATTTTGGACAAGCATTGTGTACTCTCTCAAAGTAGTAAGCCCTCATGTTCGTGTACTTAAGTTGGTTGATGGTGAGAGAAGGCCTCCAATGGGATATATTTATGAGGCTATGGAAAGGGCTAAAGAAGCAATAGCTAAAGCTTTTGGTGAGAATGAGGAGAAGTATAAGTACATCTTTAAGATCATTGATACTAGGTGGAATATCCACACTCCATCGCCCTTTGCATGTAGCTGGGCATTTCTTGAACCCATAATATTTTTATAGCAATTCAAATATTGAGCAAGATTAAGAGGTGATGGGCGGTTTATATCAATGCATAGAAAGACTGGTTCCAACCACTGGAGTGTAAGATAAAATTTCTTTGGAGTTGAGTAGATATATGAAAGCTGATGGTCTATTTGGCTCATCAATTGCTGTTAGACAAAGAAAGTCAAGGGCACCAGGTAAATAAGTCAATTAATCATTTTTTAGTATATTTGAATTTTAATTTTGTTAATTTTTTACAAATAATATGTAAATAACAGACAGTGGTCCGCATATGGTTCTACAATACCTAATTTGCAAAAGTTTGTTATTAAAGTGCTTAGCCTCACATGTAGCGCATCTGGGTGTGAACGAAATTGGAATGTATTTGAACATGTAAGTTTGTAGTATTAGTAATTCAATGATAAAAATTAGATTATAAATAGTTATACACTTATACTTATTAGTTATTTGAATTAATGCAGCTTTATAGCAAGAAGAGGAACCGGCTAACTCAATGTCGATTGAATGATTTGGTTTTCATCAAGTATAATAGAGCACTAAAACGACGATATGACATGCGTGATAGGATCGATCCCATCCTTTTAAATGATATAGATGATAGCAATGAGTGGTTGGTTGGAGTAATGGATGAAGATATAGATGCTAAAAATGAGTTGGTGTTTGAAGATGACTATTTGACATGGGGTGCACTTGCTAGAGCTACCCGGGTTGGAGAGTCAAGCCATAATTTAAGATCAAGATCAGCTCCAAGGGCAACAAAGAGGACAACACCTTCATGCTCGTCTTCATTACGAATCATAGATCATGACGAGGCAAACTTTGAGGAGACAGAAGAGGAAGAAGACGTTGAGGGTTACAAATCTTTTGATGGGGACGATGATAAGACTATGTTGTTTGGTGAAGAGGATGATATTTAGGTCCCTTAAGATTGTTTGGTAACTTTGGTTTTAGGAGTCCTTGTCAAAACTCAAAACTGAAACTAATATTTTGTTGCTTAGTTTATAGATTTGGTAGGCTACTAAGTATTGACTATGATATTTTATAGATTTGGTAGGCTACTAAGTATCTTTTGATGGATCTGTTTTGAAGTCAAATGATAGCTTTTGCTTAAGACATCAAGTATAAATTTATAATATATGGTTAATTGGTTTATGTTTTGCTTCTTTTGAATCTTTCTTATGAATAAATAGCTTTATTAGTTTAATTGTTCTATTTTACTGGTTGCTTTATTGGTTTAATCGTGATATATTTAGACTAATTTAGTATTTTTATTATTGAGTGTTCATTGTTTAATTGTGTTATTTTTACTAAGAATTATTGTTTTAAAATTTTACCTGTTCGCCTCACATCACTGAGGCTCACGCCTCGCCGTGCGCCTCGCGCCTAGGCTCCAAGGACCTCTAGCGCCTCGGTGCACCTTGGGCTTTTAATAACTATGATTAAGGGTTTTCAATGATATTGTCTTGCTTATGAAGGATTGCATTGGTTCCTCTCTTACTTGGATTCCTCATACATGAAATGGTGTATCTCATTTATTGAGCAAGAAGGCTTTAGAAGCCGAAGTTAGTGATCTGGAGTGGAGTATTTGGCCCCCGTGGTTGTTACACGCTCTATTTCTTGAATGTATTCTCCCTGTTTCCTTGAATGAATCTCTCTTGTTGGTGTTAAATAAATAAATTATATACCGACATAAATTTTAGTTCTGAAAGTCCCGTCAATTAGGGTTTATTTTCCTTTCTATTTTTCAGTGATATCTATTCACCGGAGTAGGTAAGTATTCACAATATAAATATGAAATATCCCTCACACATGTCAGATTTCTTTGAATTTCAAATTGGCATAGATGGGTAAAAAATATAAGTCTATCAGTACATAAACATGAAAGTCACAAAAATTTAAACCTTCCTTCTAATAATCCCAGTTTTCCTTTGTTTTAACTTATTGTCTTTGAAAAAGGAAATGAAAAACATAGAAAAGAAAAGTGAGAGGAAAAAGGGGTAACAGCATGGAAACATGTGACATGTGTGTCACAGTTAATTGCAAAGGTACTTCCTCACCTTCTAAAGTAGAAGGTTGAGTTTTTACGGAAGCAATGTGAGGGCGTGAGTTTCTTGTCAAAATCAGTGTGTGTGTGTGTGTGTGTGTGTGTGTTATATAGCATTTCTCGGTGAGATTGCCCAAGTATTCCTCACAAAGGAAAAATCTTATAAATTACTCCGTGCTTAGAATTAACCTCTCCATCAGCATCCAAAATTCATGCACATATAAACAGTTGTCTATGCCCCTGCCGATTCAGTATTCATTTGACAAGAGAATAAACAGTCCCCTTCAGATGCCACTTCACATCCCAAAGAGAAAGCAATTCGAGTAGCAAGGAAGAAACAGCGGACTGTCTTCCACGGCCATTGGCTGCCTGAATGGATTTACCTGAATCTGTAAGCATGACAATCAATTTCGATGCAATCAATTAAGATTATTGTCCGCTGATCTTTGAACAGTAAGAATAACAGAAACATACAGGAATCATAGGAGGACAGCCAGTTACGGTGCTTATGCAAGAAGCTCCCAGATGAGAAGCTTCTTCGCAGTAATCGGAGAAAACTGCTGGGACATTAATCTCCTTTATTAGCTCCTGAAGCACAAAGAGGCATCAATTTTAGCAAGTGAAAGTGACAGCTCAGTATTGCGTGAAACGTGTGCACGCACAAGCACACACACACACACAGAGTATTGGGGTATCGGACATACAATAGTTGGTAACCAGCTTGTGTAAGCAGCAACACCAGCATTTGGAGCAATGATTAAGTGAGGAAAGGTATCCTGTCCATGGATATGATCTCATAAGAAGCTTTAGGTAAAAAACAAAATGCAAGCTTTTAAACTTATGTGACAAACTATGATGGATAACCTTTGCTATATCTCTGAAACGGTCATGATAATAACCTGTATGAAGCCTTAACACGACCGCTGAACTTTTACTAGTTGATGTACGAGAGCTGAAATTCTCAGTTGAAGATTTGCAAATGCAATCTGTCTCAATGCAATGAGCATAACTGTGAAGATTGATTCTTTCACCGTCCCTGGTCATTCAAATGGGAAATAACAAGAATAACTAACATGTTTACGAACAAGGTAATAGCTGCAAATTCCTCCACATCCCCATCTAAAACCCAAACAAGATATATTTTTTTTAAAAGTATTTGCATTATTAAGCCAATAACCAACCAAATTATTCATTTATCTAAGGACATATAGTATATACTTAATACACACACACATATGAGAATGAGGAGATTGAACATGCATGATGAGTCAGAAGTAGCTGGTTGTGATATCATGTATAAATCATTGGGAATCCGTCTGATTTATTTCATCATCCATCATCATGGCTCACATAATCCCCTTTAAAACTAATAAAATAAAAGGAAAATTCAAACTTAAAAATACAATAATATATATATATATATATATATATATATATATATATATATATATATATATATATAGAGAGAGAGAGAGAGATACAAAAAGATGTATCGACCTTGTCACCGAGAAATCCTATTTTCAGATGAAGGAATAGTTGGAGCTAAAGGGAGACATATATATATTTATGTGTATATATATGTATGTATATTTATTTAATATAGCCTAACGAAAGATCCCTTGATCCACTCAGAAGTTTGGCATACAATCAAGGAATTGCAATATTAGGCATGCTTATATATCTATATGCAAATCCCAAATCATTCGAATTAAAACATATAGAATCAGAAAAAGAAAGAAGACTGAAGCTATTGAATCCAAACACAGAATAGAGAACAACAAAGGAAGTGATAGAAGGAGCTGAACAAAACCCTGATGCCTAATCAATTCTCATGGCTGAGCATTCCTACTGCTCTCGATCAAATGGTAATTAAAAACAGGAAATTGCAAATAAAAGAAACAAAAGAACAAAGAAAAAGCCAAAAGAGATAACATATCAACAAGCAAAAAAGAGATTCACTTTGAAAAGTCAGGCTGTTCAGCAGTCACAGTTCAGTTTTGAACCACTTCCAACTCAAACAATCCCCCTCGGCTTGCCTTCAAGGAAAACAATAACAAACTGAAAAAATCCATCACAAACTATGCACTGACCTATATTGTGGAATTTCAGGTCCAACAAACTCTATATGCACTTGCACTCCGGGAAAAAAAGCATGCAACTCCCCAAAGACAGCTAGTTGAAGAAGCTCTTTATCAGGCCCTTTGTGAATTTGATTCATTAATTACAACTGAAATTCAGTATAAACCCAACAATTTGCTTTAAACATAGAGAAAAAAGTTTTTTGCCAAATAAAGAAAGAGCAAAAAACAGTAACATGCCACTAGCGAAAAGGAAACACAGAAGTTGTTTGGAGACATAATAGAATATATATATACATATATAACACCCATGCATCTCTAAATCAAAGCCTTAAAGTGCTGCAAAATAAATAGTTATCTTTTGCCGGTAAAGGTGATTGTTAGACCCTCTTCTGCATAGACAAAGACTGGAAGAGGTAGTTAAGAGTCTAAAAAGAAAAGGACACCTTCAAGGAGCAGCCATGTCCCATCCTTGTCTGATGTTTGAGGCACTGAAACTTCTTGGACACACTTGACATGTCCAACATATTTTGAACATATTCATAATTCTAAATAAAAATTATTAATTGTAGACAAGTGGGTGACATTTCCTGGACATTCCCTAACATGTCAACAATGAACCTCTTGACATTAAGTATACTTTCTTTCAACATGGAAAAGTTGTATAATTGTAAGGAAATATAAAATTAAAGATCTATATAGGAATTTATGAGAATTTTGGCCATATTTTATAAATAAAATTTGGATATTAAATTTATGGGCTTGGATAATAAATTTAATCATATAAAATAATTTATACATAAAAACATATATCTCTGTAGCCATGTCCTACTTTTTAAAAATATGCCAAGTTGGCCTGTCCATGTCTAGTGACCATGTCCATGCTAAATGGCAATTAATCTTCGTAGGAATTAATGTCTTAACATGATTACTGAATGCATCATGGTTAAGAATCTTGTCTAGCATCGCAGTTTAACCATTATTACTCCTGTTTGGTCCATTTATGCTAGATAACTCATCAACTTCATGAATACAAGTTCAAAGACCAAGGAAGACCAACAACCATAGCGTGAGAAATCTGATACAATTGTGCACCAAAAAATTGAGAGAATGACTTGAGTAAACCCCGCACTTAACCTCATACAAGAAATTTTTTTAAAAGGCATATGTGAGTCCAAAATATCATACAAAATGCAACACTTGCCTATATGTCATGTATATCTTTTATTTCTATATCCCGTACAACATAAAATAGATTTAGTAAATACTGGATCTCCAAGTGACAACTTTTAAAGCTATTCTTGAAGTGGAAATGAGAACCAAAAACCAAGTCCTCTGACTTTCAAGAAGATAAACCACCTCTGCCTCCTAAAAAATTGAACTTCTTTATTACATGAAACTGTTTTATTTTTCAAATGATTAGAGCAGTTTTGGGGATCTTGGGAGAAAATTTCGAATCCTCCAACTATGTAAGCAACACTAAAAATCCATAACAAGATACCGACTTAACAAGCTTATACCATTTGCATAAACAACATGCAGTTGGAAAAGTCAATCAAGTTCAGGGAGGAAACTGTCTAAGTTAAAAGTCTACTATAAAGCATGGCACTATCAATTTTGTAAAGAAATTGCAACTATTAAAATGCAATGCTCACAGAGCAGAAAGTCGAAGGAGACATGATACCAAGGTAGTGTATGTACAGTTCATTGTTGTCTTCAGGAATTAAGTTTCTCGTTGCAGCAAGTTGGATGGCCTGATATAGTGTAAGCGGCTGAAAGAAAAAACATTAAGGAACCAAAATTACAGCCTGGAATTCCTTGACACATAATATAATGATCTTTATGCAGCTTGAAATTACTTAATTCTAGAAGTAGGAGATTCTTTAACTTCAATATTTCAACATACAGATTCATACACATGAAGTTGGGTGTCCATCCATCTTAAATACATCTGCTCTTGCTATATCAAAAGTATCAAGCAATCAACAAGGTGGTGGATAGCATAAATGGGTGGATGCATAAGAATGCTTATACAATACTGAATTCTGAACTACTATTAATACACATTAAATATATCATACCCAATGAAGAAGCAAAGCAACAGGAGAACATAGTGGGATGCATCTCCATTCATAGTAGTCCTTCCAACTACTTAATTGCTTAGGTATTGGAGATAAGGGCCCTGAAGATTTATATTTATATTAACTTCAAGAAATGCTAAAGTCATTTTGGGGGAGGGGGAAATGGTTGAAAAGGAAAAAAAAATAGTACCTTTACATGGGCACAAAGTCCTTGAAAGATTCCATCCCTCAGTTAACCTACCAATAAGATCAAATGTGGATGAGATGACATTGCATAAGTTAGTAGAACTGCCAGCTATCTTGTATCTGCACTGACAGTCTGACACATTTGATTTTTACAAACTACTGCCAAAAATATTTGCCTGAATTTCTTATCATGGCCCTCCCTCCAATTCTTGATGAGTATTGTGCACAAGGTCATTGCATCAAGTGAATCTTTAAAATTAATCTTCTTAGGACTAAATACACTTTTACACCGTTCGCAATATAAATTTTTTGGATTGTTAAATATTACATTATGGAGTATTACTGATCGTATTGAGTAATTGGAATTTGTTATAATAACAAATAGCAGTTAGTATTCAAGTTGATTGGACAAACTAATCACACCCACTTTGATTTCTTTGACAGCCCCTATTATCTTTTTTTTCCCTGAATGACAGCCCCTATTATCAAAAATTAATAAGCAGGAACTTTATTTTGCAATACTTAAAAAGGTCCAAAATTAGTGCAGAGGCAGAATACTAGGCTATCTGACCGAACTGGGTCTAATGGAACAAGATCACCATGAGCATATACCTAAGTGATCTTGGTTAATCTATTGCATAGAACTGAAGTTTCTTGCAGTTGAAATACGAAAGATCTTCAAGCAAATTTGATAGCATCATTTATCCAGCAGCTTTTAAACCCAAGATCTCCTTTTAACTGGTATTATTTGCCCGAATGACTACAGCAACAATGATCAACATACAATAATGTTGCATATTAAGTATCTCAATAGTAACCCTAGTATTTAAGAAAGCCATTTAAATAACACAAACCTTGAATGATCTAAAGAAGCAGCAGCTGATGCCCAACAACTACATTCACCCATCCACATTCCTACACAATGAATCCCAAGCTTCGTCAGAAACGAACACCTAGTCTCCTGCTTTTCACACACCTAACACAAATTACCCAACATAAATGCATCAATCAGATAACTAAGATGACATAAACAATGAGAAATATCAAAAACACCACGAACTAGTTTTCACCAGGCGTATTTTCGATTACCTGAACGGTAGCTTCTCCAGAAAAAGTAAAAGGAAAATTATTCAACTTTTCAGCATCCTTCATTTGTTGTTCTAACCTTTCACACTCATTTTTATGATCACCCCAGTGCGCAATCTAGATAGAAATGTAGAACAATCAAACACTAGCTTAAATTTAAAAATGAAAACACTACGAAAAACTTATCAAGTGAGATAAATTACTACTGAATGTCGCACTATATCAGTGTTGCTCAGTTGCAGTTGTAAAAAATTAGGGTTCAATATAAAAGCATATAAATACAATTTCATGTTTTTATAGTCCCCCTCAAACACATATCCTTGACATGAAGAACATGAATTAGGGTTTTATAGAAACCCAAACAGATACGTGTATACTGTATGCATAAATATAATATATATATACACACACACAAACACAAACATATTTATAGACGTATGTATATAGTTGGGGACCTGGTGAGAGACAGAGCAATAGGCAACGGCTCCGCAGCGAGCACAACGTCTGGTGGGTGGGCCCACACATCGAGTTCTCCTTCCCCTTCCCGCACACTCCATTCTCACAGTTGAGAGAGGTCTCAGACGCTGATCACTCCCATTTTTTTTTTTTACTGTAAATAGAGGAAAGAACCGAGCTGAGCTCAGTAGTTTGGGCTGGGTTCATTCGTTGGTCTAACTTGGATTGGGCTAGAAATTGTAACGAGCTCAAAAGTTGAACTTGGGCTCGACTCATTATTTAAAGCTCGTATGCACACGCTTAATATCAAAGTCGGACAAAACCAACTATTTTATCCGAGTAAGAAATGATGTCATTATGATGACGTTTCGTATTCACATAAATTTAATCAAATGTATCAGACTTTGTATCATTACTATAAAAATTAACATTCATATCATATCCCTAATTTAGATTCGGTTTAAACTCGTGACTCGTTTATAAACTTATAAGAAATTACACAACTCTAAGTGTTCATAAACACGCTAATTTATAAGTTAAGCTCATTCAATGACGTCAATTTTTTAATTCAAACTTGGCTCACTTGCTTAATAAATTAGTTCGAATTGAGTTTCAAATAAAATTGTTCGTCAAGAGTTTGGTTCATTTGAGTTCTAATCAGTTTTTGAATTGATTTTGACTAATAATTTTGAACCCAAGGCCCAACCCAGAACTGGCATGTGACCAAGGGGTCCATGTCTGCCCTCTTGGACCATTGGGCCATTATAGTAGTGGTGGGCCGATGTGTGATATAAGGGTGAACGAATCTAATTAAGCCCATTTACATCTTCCTTAACTAATGGATAATTTTCAGAGCAAACACTGAATGATCACTTGTAATATTTATGTTCACTTAATAGCTATTCAACTGAAATTTCCTCCTACCAACCTGTTAATGAATACAATGGGGTGTATTGGACACATAATAGCTATTCAACTGAAATTTTCGGCTATAAGGAGACATGGAATTAGTATTATTTGGCTGAATAAAAGGTTGATTAAATTACTGCTACTTGCCGTCACACTCTTTAAACCAATGCCACTAATTTCACAATAAAAGCATGCCTCAAAAAAAAAAAAGAAAAAAAAGAACGTGAAATATTTTTTCGATAACCAGGTGTCCAAGGCTTCGCCTCATTTAATTCACGAGACCCGTGTAAAGCGATCCCTCTACATGAATCGGATAAAACTCGAATTATATCCGCGATCATAATCCCTAAAGAATTTATTGCACTAGAGACTTGATGTTTCATGAGCCACTAAGTCACAAGGTTTCACCATCGAACCAACCACTGCTTGGTTGTTCTAACAGTGGCTTTTATCTTATGTAGCTATTATCATTCTCATAATAATTATAGCTTATCCTAAACTTTATGCCTCCAATATACTACAACCGTTGGTATTATTTGAAAAGACTTGAAGATTGATTAAATACCCTTGAATGGTGCATATGTTGTAGGACCGATGCATGTGTTCAAAAAATAAAAAGTGAATTTTTTTTTTTTTTGATAACCGGAGTGTCCAGAGCTTCGCCCCATTTAACCTACGAGATTCATGCAAAACGATCCCTCCGCATAAATGTAAAACTCGAATTATATCCATAATAGTAACCCTTATAAAATTGAGGTTCCAAACTTATGGGGCATTAAGTCACGGCTTTACCCCTGAAGCCAACCACTGGTTGGTTGTTTCAATAGTTACTTTATCTGATGTAAACTATTCTCGTAATTATTATCGCTTATCCTAAACTTTATGCCTCCAATATCCTATAACCTCGGTGGTATTGTCTGAAAAGACTTAAAGATTGATTGAATACTGTTTCTTAAAGTGGGAAAAGATAGAAAGCTTTTGTAATCTTGGCAGTACAAGAGACCTAAAGAAAAAAATGCCCTAGAACACATAATTTTTGCAAAAGCAGATGCCAAATCTGAAAGAAAAAGGATAAAATTCAACTTCACAGTAGTGTTTTCAATATCTTCTTCTTTTTTTGATACCCTTTAGAGATGATGATATGCAACTCTCCTTTCTTTGTACTGCAAAGCATATCATCCTTCTAGGATCCCCTCACTTCAATTTCACCCACCTGACCCATAAAACTGTGTTTGTTTGCCATTTTGAGTTCCTTTTTCTTTTCATTGGTTTTTATGGATTTTCACCTTGGATTTGCAGGTTCAAACCCTAACATTTATGAAAAAGAATGGACATTAATATAGTTTGGTGATTTGAGTAACGACTTGTGTCAATGGAGGATGGAATTTTGACATCATTAATTAAATAAATATGGAGTAATCATACAAGCCGAAAATTTAGGACGTCTAGACCATGTGTGATTTGAAAGTAACAAATAAATATATTCATGTGAGGTTCACATGATGTCATCTCTTCGACTCAAATAAAAGTAATCAATAAATATATTCATGTGGGGTCCATATGATGTCATTTCTTCTACCTAAATTAAAGATAACCAATAAATATATTGATGTGGAGCACAGATGATACTATCTTTTCAATCTAAATTGAAAATAATGAATAAATATATTTACAGTGGGGTTGACATGATGCCATCGATGTCTTCATAATTATTGATTTCTTACTCAGCTTGAGCTTCTTTCTTTTTTTCCTGTTAAAAGAGTTTTTTAAAAATATATTATTGGTTTGTTCAATGAAAATACCAACCAAATTCATCAAAAGAAATGAATTTTGACCCCCAATGGATTATCATTTTGGTCTCCTTTTATGATATTCAATGGAACTTCTTTTTAGATTTTTAATTTTTTTTTGGCAAAAATTTTCAAATTCACATCTGATTTATAAAAAGTAAAAGTGCACTTTAAATCAATATATATATATATATATATATATATATATATATATATATAGTTCTGAAATTATGGGTCCAATTAAAAACTTTCATCCTCTTTTGTTTCTCCTTGCTTTTGCCACCATTCATCATGATTCTCTCTCTATATGTTATGTCCCCTATCCTATCTCATGGAATAAGTTGTAAAAAAAGCAAGGACAAGGCAAGATTACAAGCAATGGCCCCTTCATCTCTTCAAAATCACACATTCTAAATAGTTAGGAAGAAAATTAAACAACCCACAGACCAAAGTAATAAAATAATAACAAAAAAAAAAGGGTTAAATCTCGCTATTAATAAGTAGTGCAATATTTACCATGATTTTAGCGTGTTCATCGTGCTCAGATAAAGATTTTTCCCACAGGATGTCAAATTGTCATTTTCATATCGACACACAAATAACTAAATTATGATAAAAGTTATAGGTGTAACGTAGGTATCACAATCACAATATGTCACATAATGCCCAAAATTGTTGAAATGAATCAGAAATTAAGATTCATTGCAAGGTGACTAGACAATCAAATGGATCCACCCTCCATTTTCTCTCTTCAACATAATTCAATCTTACCTATAATATTTGAAAGCGAATTAAAGTTGTAAATAAAAATGATTGTGAGAGTGTTTCATTTTGCTTCTCCTACCACTTTTAATGAACATAATGGAAAGAAATTAAACAATTTTGAGAACCCCCCACCCCCCAGAAAGAAGAAAAAAAAAAGAAGAAAAAGTCAAGTATCATTGTCAAATAGTGCAATATTTACCATGATTTCAGCTTTCATCGTGCACAAGTAGAAATTTTAGCCCACAAAATGTCAAGCAATCATTTTCATATCGAGACACAAATGACCAAATTATAATAATAGTTGTGTAGATGGGGCGGTCACTATATATACAACACAAGCCCCAAAATTGTTGAAATAAATAAAAAATTAAGGGTTAGAGCTTTAATTTTCAACTTAAAATTTGCTTTGCAAGGTGACTTAGACAATCAAATAGGTCCTTGCAAGGTGACTTAGACAATCAAATAGATCCACCTGGCTAAAAAAAAATAATAGATCCACCCTCCATCTTCTCCCTTCAAAATAATTCAACCATACATATCCTACTTGAAGGGGGAATCAAGGTTGTAGTCATGGTTCGCAGTTGTGGTATCGGTCGCGATATTGGTTACGATCGCAATGTAATAAATTTGAACAAATATCGACTGAATCGATCAATTCATCGAGATATGTAGCAATATCGAATCCGTATCAATCGATATGACAAACCATAATTGTAGCAATTGTTAAAAAGGATTGTGATAGTGTTTTTTTTTTCTTCTCCCGTCACTTTTAATGAACCTAATGGAACTATTAGGTAAAAATATTTTTAATAAGTATTTGGTACATGTGAGATAGAAATACAGTATATATCTGATGATAAATAACGATATGCTTTAAGAAGTTGGACAATGGACACTATCATCATAAATAAATAAATAAAGAAGGAAGCATTAGATAGAACAGTTACTCAACTCACATGTGACATGTTTTTGCCATAAAGGAGACATGGACAGAGCTTGTGGCTGAATAGAAGGGTTGATTAAGTAACTACCAACATGTCTTGACACTCTTCAAAGTTTAGACCAATGCCACTTTGACACATATGCTGAATTCTCCTTCATATGACCATTAAGGGCTTGCCTCTAAAAGCCACCAAAAAAAGGGCAAATGTTGGTTGTCTTAATCACCTTTAACTATTGTTAGTATTCTCAATAATATTTTATCATATCTACACTTTTTCACTCCAATATCCTACATAACTTTTGAGTGGTATTGTCTACAAAGATTTAAAAGATTGATTGATTAGCTGTTTGCTCAAAAGGAAAAGTTTTTTAGCTTTTCTAATCTTGCTAGTACAAGAAACTTGAAGAAAAAGATGCCCCAAGATCACACAAATTTGAAAAAAAAGAGATGCCATATCTTAGGGAAAGTGATAATAATAATTTCACACTACATTCACTCCACCATTTAATGGTACCTTTTATTTAGTATATAGCTCTCATTTTTTTGTACCTTCATCTTATCTTCATCAACATATCCTTTCAAGTAACTTTTTTTCCTGATTCTCTGGAACAACTTGCAGTGCAACTTCACTACATTTATTTTGAAATTTCTCCACTTTTAGTAATAAATCTCGTAACCATAAGCTTCACCATTTTGAATTTCAACGATTTAAATGGTGAATATCA